TTTTAGGCATTTATTGTCTTGTATTCTCCCCAGCTATTGAGCAAGCCCTTTGAGGGCAGGAAGTGTACCGTACTCTTCTCTGTAATTACAAAACTCGTACTGTCTGGCACAAAGCAGGTGCTTGGAGGCACACAGGGAATTGCTGACAATTCCAACATCCACAGGGTGGATGCTGACCTTCCCCATTACACAAAAGAGAAAAAGCCTAGAGAACTTCACAGGTCATACCCTCAACACGTAGGACAGAAATCCAAGCTGAGCCTTGTCACTTTCAGCTCCCCTTGCTGGGTTAAAGGACTTGCCAATGGTCACACAGCCGTGAATCTTACCCGAAGTGGGTTGCCCAGTCTTTCTCCCTCCAATGACAGCAGACTGGCTTTCTTTGGGGTAGACTGACTCCTTGGTTTACGGACTGTTATGCCTTGACAGAATTCAGTAATTCATTGTGGTGTCAGTTGCAAGTTCTGGGCAGCTTGCCTAATCTCTGGAGTCACTTAAAATCTCTGTCGTTACTGCAAAAATGAATGTTTGGACAATTTATTCTGTGAGTCCTGTCAATAGAGACACCCTGGAGTCCTCATTTCAGCATCGCATTTCATTGTTTTAAGCTGAAATGCGCTGATGTGCTTCCAACACATTATCTCTGTAATCACTTTCTTTTGCTGTAGAAATGATCAGGAAATTGTGCTTTGATACAAGGGAAGGGTGATGAGGCCACGCAGTGCTAAACTAGGATTCCACGTTACCATTTGTAGAAAGATACTGTTATCAAAGAAGCCACAGGAGAACATCTTGGGGTCACCTCTTGGAGTCAGGAAATATGAAACATATATTTCACAGACGTGCATTTTGCTGTAAACCTCTCTGCATAATGCATGAGATTTGATTTAATGTCATTGTTAATTCTGGGGCTCACAATGGTGGGCTCTTCAGGGAGCCATCATTTTTTTATTTCCGTTTTTTTTTTCTTCCTGGAAACAGAACTCTGAGGCCATTTTAGGGTTGTTCCGAATCGTGTGAGCACAAGACAGCTTCCTGGGGAGGAGGTGCAGATGCCAGGTGTGGCTTTTCCAGAGGCTGTGGCCAGGGAGACAGGTGGCTGATTGCCGCAGGCTCCAAACCGAGCCACTCTTGGGGATCCCACTCAGGCCTGGCCTGGGTGCCTCGTGCCTGCATGTGTTTGGTCAGAGCTTAAGGCTTGCATTTTTTTTTTTTTTTTTTGAGACTGAGTTTTGCTCTCGTTGCCCAGGCTGGAGTGCAATGGCAAGATCTCGGCTCACTACAACCTCCGCCTCCTGGGTTCAAGCGTTTCTCCTGCCTCAGCCTCCTGAGTAGCTGGGACTACAGGCACGCGCCACCACGCCCGGCTAATTTTTTTTTTTTTTTTTTTTATAGTAGAGATGAGGTTTCTCCATGTTGGTCAGGCTGGTCTCAAACTCCACACCTTAGGTGATCTGCCCACTTTGGCCTCCCAAAGTGCTGGAATTACAGGCATGGGCCACCGAGTCAAGTCGAGGGTTTCATTTTTTTAAAAAATGAATAAATGAGTGAATGAAAAGAAAAAGGCTTTAGTCTGGGCACTGTGGCTCATGCCTATAATCCCAGCACTTTCGGAGGCCAAGGCGGGTGGATCACCTGAGGTCAGGAGTTCAAGACCAGCCTGGCCAACATGGCGAAACCCGTCTCTACTAAAAAAACACACACACACACAAATTAGCCAGGCCTGGTGGTGGGCACTTGTAATCCCAGCTATTAGGGAGGCTGAGGCAGGAGAATCACTTGAACCTGGGAGGCGGATGTTGCAGTAAGCCAAGATTGAACCACTGCACTTCAGCCTGAGCCCACTGAGCAAAATTCCGTCTCAAAAAATAACAAATAAAAATAAAAAAAGGTTTGTAGCAGAGGAGGAAAGAAATGAAACAATAATGAACTTTTAAGAGGCACAAAAGAATCATTCTGGCCTAGG